AACACACACCCCCACCACACCCGTTTATCTCGCAGAAAAAAAATCCAATGTACAAGTACATGCCACCGACTACAATCTACAAAGACAACACACAGCTCACACAACACCCGCTTCTCTCACAGCATAAAACAAAACATGCACATACAACTCGAGACCCCCCCCCTCGCCATCGGCCGGCCGACGTTGTTACTGGTCGCCAAGAAAACTAGTTTCCATGTCCAAAATGTTGCGGTGGGCCTTTTGGATCTTGCGCATCTTCTCGATGAACTCCTTGTTCCTGATGACTACCCCGCGAAGCGCAATCTCGCGGTAAGCCCGGCAGTAGTCTCGTGTTCGCCGGGCAAAGCGCCGCACCCGACCGATTGTCAAGTACTTGTCTATGCACAGCGACTTTTCGATGTTGTCGTGCAAGTGCTTCGGGACCTCATCATTGATCTTCCGCCGAAACTTCTGCTTGGAAAACCCCCACGAGTACTCGATCCCTACCCCCGCTACCTCCGGGTGACACTTCGGAGACGACAAAAGAATGTGTCCCCTACTCTCTACCAGGTGCTGCAGGGCTGTCCTCTCATTCTTAAAGTCAGGCAAGGCTTGCAGAACCTTTTCCACGTGCATATCGTCACTGACTCCCGCCCCTGTTGACATGCCGTCCTTCCACCACCCACGCTCCCACAGGTACTGCCTGACCCCTTTCGCTTTCCCCTCGTACCCTTCCTTGACCTTCCCCTTCGCGTTCTTCTTGTCTTTGCGCGGAGCATCCCATTCGAAAAACGGAGGAGGCGCACCTACCGCGAAAGTGCTAGTCTGAGTCTGGCCCACCGTCAGCTTCTGGTCAACACACACTGCCCCCTCGCTGAACTTCGTGCTCCACCTGCCGTTGGCGAAATACATTTTCGCCTCCTCCGGACCCAAGCACTCCTCCGTCATGACCGAATCCCGCAACACCTTTTGCTTCCCCCCATACTTGACGTTCATGTTCGATACATGCAAACCATCCTCTCGCTGCTTCCCATGGCCCGACGAGTGGTCGACCTCGAACACTATTTGCATGTCGGGATCGATGTGCTCCAAGACGTCCATCACGTCTTCGACCTGTTCTTCGAACTGGTCGTAGCCCCAGTACCCATCCTTGCCTTTTCCGTATTCAAGAAACCGGAGTCCAGGGCTTCGCGTTAAGGTTTTTTTGCCGTTCCCCTCCTCATCGCGTTTGGCGTTCACCGCCGCCAGGTCGGCATCCGAAATAGGTAAGCCGAAACCGTGTCTTTCGTCCTGAAAACCAGACACCATTTCCCCCGGCCCCTCCGTCTTTTTCCGCAGTCCGCGCACCCCTCGAATCACCCACTCTTTGCCCTCGCGTGCATACGCCTTGTAGGCACTCTCGTCCTGCCCGATGTGGTGCACCTTCTTGCCGCATCTGCACTTGTTCGGGGGGTGGAAATGCTCGCACTGGGCAGCAGCGGCCTGATCGAAGCGAACGCTGTAGTCCCCACCCTCTGGACCAAGTGCGGCGCGGAGCTTGTCGAAGTTATCGACGGAGCCGTCGTCGCGCAGGAGATCTACGTGGAATTCGATGCAGTCTTGTCCATCGATCTTGCAGTCGTACACCTCTGCGTAGAAATCTCCTTCCGGGCCTCGCGACTTAAGGCTGTCGAGTCGGTCCACCTCCTCCTGCTTGAGAGCGGCTCGTTGCACTCGTACCCACAAGGGTTGACGCAGCGCCATCTTGCGTCTCTTCTCTATGTACTCGCCGCGGTACTCGACTACCTCCTTCTTCTCGTGGGTGTCCGTGTAGAACGACTTGGTGGCCCGCTCGTACCTGCAACCCAACCTTATCATCCACGAGTGCGTCGTGGACATCGAAACCGGAAGGTTCACCTGGTACGCATGGAGCCTGGAAAGATCCTCCTTGTCGTCTTGGAGCAGAGGCCCGTTGATGTACTTGCAGACTTCCTTGATGGTGAAACGCGGTTGTGATATCATCCACGCCAGCAACGCACTCTTCAGATCCTCCTCTGACATGATCCAGTCCGGCTCGTGCGCACCCCGTGCATCCCGCCTGAAACCACCTTCCTTCCGAAAGTCTCTGAGCCACCTCAGGATCGTTGATGGCGCATAAGCCTGCGGACTAGAACCTGCTACCTTTGCCGCCATCCGCAGGAGCGAAGCCTCGTGCCGAACCAACGACGCCTCGTTGAGCAGGTCAAACCGTTCGGCATCGGCTTCCTTCACGGCGGCATCCGTTGCATGCTTGCAGCCGGACATAACCTCGTTCGCCTTCCGCGTGAGCTCCAGCTGCTTGACGTCGCGCTCCCGCTCCTCTTTCAGCACCTCCAACGATGAGTACGCTTGCTGCCACAACCGGATTATCTGCTTCTCGGCTACTTTTTCCTCCGGCGGTTTTCCCGTGTCCTCGGCCCACGTCCTATCGCCCGCGTTCTCACCGTCCTCCACGGAAGGGAGGGGGAGGGGGAGGAGAAGGCTGGGGAGGTGGCCAGTCCGGAGGGCGTCCTGGAGACGCTTGATGTGTTGCTCGTTGGCTGCAACGTTTGCCGTCAAGTCTTTGATCCGGCCGCCGAGGTAGGCTCCACGTTGATCGAAGGCCTTTCGAAGCTTTCTGTCTCTCCTTCTCCAACCCCGCTCTATCGAGCGTTTTTCGCGGCTGGTGAGCATCTGCTGCATCGCAAATTCCGCGCGGGTCGCGTCGGAGCCAGCCCGCCGCTGTCGCTTGAACTGCCGTTCCTGTGGTCGGCCGATGATCCCGAGGCTGTTGAGCGATTTTCCTGCTTGAGCGGCGGTTGGGAGTTTGAAGCACGAGGCAGTGCGGCACATTGTTATTCGTTGTTTTGCACTACAGCAATACTTGCAGCAAGTATTTCAGAGTTGGAGATCACCCAAGTAGTACGTGATGTGCAGAGGTGCAACAACCGGTCAACCTTTCGCGAAAGTGTGACGACATCGGCGCATTTTCATGCAGAGTTTTACTTTCAGACCGAAGTACGACACATGATAACACACCCCCTGGGTCGATTTCCACAGCTCGATTACTCCACGACGAAGAGGATGCATGAACAACACGATACGTTTCCGGAGAGCTCTCGACAAGACAGCTTCAACACCGCCGTTTTCGGCGCTGCGACTCGTTCTGCTGGTGATGAATCGAGCTTTCAAAATCCGTCCAGGGGGGTGTGTTATCTTACGTCATATACGGCAGCACATCGTTGCAGCAAACACATCGGGGTGTACAGGTACCATATTGTAGCAAAAAATGTTGTGCGTACTGCTGTAGGCGCCTCTAGTACCAGAACAACAGACGAGTAATGAAGGCAACTCATGTGAACGTGGATATCACGTTGGGCGATTACACTTGTGCGTGCGAAGCATGCCGTCGAAAATTCAAAAATCTCGGCTGACGACCACATCTCCCAAAAAATGTGGTCGTGTACAAATCAACATACGCCGCCATCTCTTTTATAAGAGTGCCACCTACTTGACGTCCCTAAAAGAACATACTCGACGTAAGTCCAGCCTGCGGCATGACTGGCCGCGTGCAGTAGGTACAGCAGCAGTCGCTGGCACGGTGTCACGTGTGCTGCCGTTGCTCCGACCCCAGAAAAAACAAAAAAAATCAAAATTGCATGATCATGTCCACATCGTGTTTGTACAAGTGTACAACTGCGCAGTTCACGACTTGCCTGCTGGAAGCGTAGTACCCGCTGCAACAGGTGGGACTAGATTCTCCTTGCTGACCTCGCAGGGCTGACCACGTTGGCTGCCCTCCCAGCTGTACCTGAAGGCAAGGCTGCCACAAAGCGCTTCCTGCTCTGTGTTGCACAAGGGGCCGTACTTCTTCGTTGCCCTGTCTCCTTTCCGGCTTGTGAACATGAGCCGTAGCCGCCACTTCCCCTTAGACCTCTCTGGATAGCATACGGGTTCAGAGGTTCTCTGCCAGCCATTGCGTGTGACTGCTGCTACTAGGCTCTCCATGCTGTGCACTCCTCGGTGCCAGCGGGTGCTGTGTGCATCCGTTGTGCGTTGTGCACAATTTAAAAAAAAAATGAAATTCCGCCGCAAAGAAAAGCGTTTCATAATTTTTTCCCCAGTCTTAAACCCAGAGAAAATGCGGAGGGTTATCTTTTTTGGAGAGAATGTGTTCAACACGATTTCGAGAGGCATGGGCAAATCCGCTGTGATTGGCTGATTGAGCAGATGTGCCGAGCTCGTTCCAATTCTGATTCCTTCAAAATTTATGGCTGGAAGACTGAATGTTAGCTTCTTGGCTGGCCCAGCTTGTAGCTGCAGCTACTTCGTTGAATGCGTGCATTTCATTGCGTGCAGCTGCTGTGTGCTGTGTGGTATGCAGCTGTGGGGGTTGCGTGTGGAACATCAGGGGTTCCGTGGAGTATTTATCGATTTATCGTATCGTTATCGAAATATCGAAATACCGAAAAGTTCATATGTTTTCGATATCCGATATCGATACGATAAATCGATACGATATATCGAAATATTCGATACGAATTCCGACACTATGAGGGAGAGAGCATCGACCAGGAACAAAACCTAGCACACAAACGCGCGAGCGCGAATGTCCAAACCTGCGAGTGATCCCACCCACCCCTTGACGAACTTTCGTATCTCGATTTTTCTGCAGACAACAGGGTGCCAACGCCCACACGGGTGATATCCTTGGAAAGACATATCCTCGAGAAACAGCTCTACCGGTCGATTTTTTCGCGCCCTCGTTGGTGGTGAAGCAACGGAGTCCTGAAACTCAGTCCAAGGGCATGTACGATCACTCGTACAGTTGCGATACACGGCTAGCCTCCACCGAATGACCACCTTCCCGAGAACTGACTACTACTCTGAAATAGAGACGGGGGTTCGTGTCTCTATCCCTTTCCCTAACCTCCAACTCCACTACAAAACTAAAATTCTTGGCGAAGGCTACAAATCTAGAAGTATGAAATACAGCGGGGGGGTTCGTAGCCCTATTCCTAACCCTAACCCCCAACCCCCTGCTATAAACCGAGCATAACATCCTTGCAAAGGCTACCGCAACCGCATCGGCACGGGACATACCGTTTTCGCGGAATGATGACGGTCGTTGTCTCACCTGCAAGTGGCGGAGCATCCCAGGCGGCAACGCCCCGTCCACCGCCGCCACAAACTCCGAAGCATCGTCACCGCCACTACCCCCCTTCCCGTCGCTCCTTCTGCCCCCCTCTCCCGGAGCTTTCGAGTCCTTACGCGCTTCCGACGATGATTGTCTCGCGAGGTTGTGACCGTTCCCTGACTCCTCGACCGCCGTTGGCGGTTTCGTATGGGGCGACAGCGGGTATCGGAGCACGTCCGCCGAGAGACGGTACCTGCCAGCGAGTGCGTACGCGGGGCGCGTGCGTACGCAGCAGTAGGACATCGGCAAACATGCTCGAGGAAGAAAATTCTTGAGCTTCTCTCTGCTGCTGTGCTGGGCATTGCAGCCTCGCTTTGGGAGGGGGCGAGAATAACACGCCACGGCGAGGTGATACATCTGCATCACATTCTTCGCGGGACGTCCGATACTTCGCCCTGCCCATTTTTGCGATGGATTACGCTTACTTGTTTTAGGACGGTGCTGACGATGCACGCGGGTTTGGAAGAAGGTACCGCAACAAATCAAGCAAGATCATAAAAATTTTGTGAGCGTTCAACCCGGAGCATCATCTACTACCTGGTCCCTGGTTTGGTTCTTATCACCTGAAACCGTGTCGTTTCAGAACCTTGGCGGCTTCCTTGTTGCGGCCCTCCTGGCACAGCAGGAGAGACAGTCGTTCGGCCGCGGCTTGAGCAACCTCCTCTCCCTGGTCCCCCGACTTTGAGGCGGACCGTAGCGCCTGTCGAAGGTGAAACTCCACGTCCTTTATCGCACGCTGGCAGCCCGGGGGATAGTGGTGAGGGAGTAGGGAGGTAGGGGATGTTAAGGGGAGGACAACTCAGACGCGTTTGGGTACAAATCCCTATGCGACGTGCCGACGAAAAACACACACACGAGCCTAGTCAGCCAAACGAGATACATCGCCAAAAACAGTCTCAGCCTCCGCTTGGACGCCCGCAAGGAAGAAAGACACATACACCCACCGCTCTCAAAACGGCACAGCCACCAACCGCACGATTCCTAACGGCATCGTCGCGGACCGAGGTCTCGCCCTGCGGGCGTGCTATCTCCTTCCTTTCCAACCCTTCCGCCCGTTGACACCATCAACACACCTGATGCGATAGGCCGCGGGCTCTAAGAATCTTCGCCATCTTCAGGTGGCCGCTCGCGCAGCGCGGCCAAGCGGAGAGGCACGCCGCGCAGCCAGCCTCGGCGGCATCTAGGTTCCCTGGAGATGCCGCAACACGCGTGCGGGTGCACGCAGCGGAAGGCGCCCGGCCACATTACACACCAGAAAGTGAAATAAAAACCGTGAGCAGCAGAGCGGACGGAGGAGGGGGGGGGGG